TGGCTGCCTCGGGGATCCTTTGGAGGCCTCTTGGGGGTCTCTTGGGAGCCTCCTGGAAGCCCCTTGGGCGCCTCTTGGAGCCGTCTGGGCGCTTCTTTGGGGCTTCTTGGGGCGCTCTTGGGAGCCTTGGGGGCGCTCTTGGAGCCATCTTGGAGGAGATCGCTCAAACAAGGGGGGGGGTGCTCATTAACCTCCCCCTTCCAGAGTGCCTAAACTCGTCTCTCGGACCCCTCTTGGAGCGCTCTTGGGCGCTTCTGGGACCGTCTTGGCGGCCTCTTGGGCCATCTTGGAGCCCTCTTGGGCCATCTTGGCGTCATCCTGAGGCCTCGGAAGGCCATCGGAAGCGAAAAAGCTAGAGGGCAAGCCACAACGATTTTCTCTGGGTTTTGAAAAGGTTATGGCATTTTGGCGGCCTCCTGGGGGAGCTCTCGGGCTACTTGGACACGTCTTGGGGCGGTCTTGAGGCTTCTTAGAGCATATAGAGTTATCTTGAGCCATCTTGAAACATCTTGAGCCATCTTGGAAGCCATCTTGGACTCTCCGAGGCCCTCTTGGAGCCGTCTTCGGCGAACAAATACACTCTGACTCCAGGCGGGGCGCCCCCTCCAGGTCCAGGGGAAAGGGGTACCGGGAGGGGCAAACCCCTCCCCGAAGGGGAAGCCGGGGGCTGGAAGAGAAAGCTCTCTAGACCACGTACGCCCCAAAGGGCTGGTGGGATTCCTCTCACCAAAAAACGATCATAATCTCCCCCCTACCCCCCCAATTCCCCCCCCTCAGACTGTGCAATCCCGCCAGCCCGTTAGGCGCAGGTGGTCTAGAGAGCTTTCTCTTCCAACTCCTTCTTTCCCCTGCGGGGACGGGTTTATCACTGTTCCCTATTGACACACACCCCCTCCCCCAAGCGACCGCTGGCCAACCAAGAACCATGCTCCCACCCCCCCACCATCCATGTCAAAAACAATACAAACACACACTCTGCCTCCAAATTCGGAGTATGCGTAACCAGCCCGATGCGGGCCCCCCCACCATCCGTCAAAAACAATACAAAGTACACTTTGGTGACATCTGGAGTCAAATTGGTGAAGCCCGCGAGCACTTTTCATTGTTTTTTGACAGGGACGGAGGGGGTGTCAACATATTACCTGCTGTGCGCAGGGCTATCACCCCTGACAAAACACACTATAAAATGCTCCTCGCGGCTAAATCTCGATCATGCGCGGCCACCCCGCGATCACTGTCAAGTTATGTTTGTCAGGGACGGCGGGGTGGTGGCGTATGGCCTCCTGTGTGCAAGCCCACCAGACACAATGATGGACATTGGATTTCGACAAAGATGGTGGGGGCCGACATGTTTCCCGATGTGTGCCGTCACGTGCGCAAGCGCACCTTGCACACTCTGCACGTGCCCCGAACGTGGCGCACCTGGCGCGACTGGAGCATGCGGCACACCTGGCGCACGCGGAGGCACGTGGCGCATCTGGCGCACCAGGCGTGCCTGGCATGCTCGGGCCCCAGGGGTGCTTGGCGCGCGTGGCGCGCCTGGCATGCGTGGCGCACCTCGCCCCAGCGTCGCGCACATGGGCTCGGTTTTGGTTCCCAGTAGCTGTCCATCCAACGACGACCGCTGAACATGCTGAGGCCCGGGTGTTACTGATGTGTTGGGAGGGCGGGTGGGAATGAGCTAGACGGCTTGCAATCTGGAGGGTGCCTTGGCCCTTCCCCCTAACGCCTCCCTTGGACCTGGACGGGGCGCCCCGCGAGGTGTCAGAGGGCATTGTTTCGCCCAGGACGGCTCCAAGTGACCTCGAATACGGCCCAAGACAGCCCAACATGCCCCAATCTGGCCCCCCACATGCTCCAGGAGGCATCAAAAACGCTCCAAGGAGGCCCCAGGTGGCAACGGAGCCTCCCCAGGAGGCCGCCATGAGGCCAACATTATTTTCAAACCTCAGGGCAATCACTGTTTTTGTTGCGTTCTCGCCGTTTTGCAATCGACTGCCGTCGAGTCCTTAAGATGGCTCCAAGAGGGCCCATGAGGGCTCTAAGAGAGGCCCAAGAGAGCCCCACGAGCGCCCCAAGAGGGGTCCAAGGGACGAATTTAGCTACCCTAGAATGGCAATGCTAAGTACATGCTCCCACTTGTTGGATCGATCTCCTCCAAGATGGCTCCAAGAGCGCCCCCAAGGCTCCCAAGAGCGCCCCCAAGAGGGTCCCAAGCTGCGCCCAGACGGTCCCAAGATGCCTCAATAGACCCCCAAGAGTCACCCAAGAACCCCAAGAGACTTCAAGAGGACCCCCGAGGCACCCAAGACGCTCAAAGACGGCCTTGGGCTTGCCAAGATGTCCGCCCCCTCTTCCAGACGGCCCAAGAGGCCTCCAACAAGCTTCCAAGAGACATCCGAGGAGGCTCCGAGGGGCATTCAAGAGGCGTCTGACTCTTCCGTTCGCCCTTTTCCTCTTCCTCTTCCTCCTCCTCTTCCTCCTCCTCCCCATTCCTTGGCACCCTCCTTCTCCTTGTCCTCCTCATGCACTTACTCCTCTGCCTCCCTCCTGCCTCCTCCTCCTCCCCCACCTCCTCTTCCTCCTCCTCCTCATCCTCCTCCTCCTTCTCCGGTTTTTTCCACGCTCTCCTCCTTTTTCCTCCTCCTCCGTCTCCTCCTCCTCCTCCTCCTCCTCCTCCTCCTCTTCCGCCTCCCCTTGTTCCTCCTCCGACTCCTCCTCCATCCTCCCCTTTTTGGAGTACGACGTCTTACCCAATCTTTTATTCCACTGCATTACACCCCACATCCCTGATCAGGGCAACTCGTCTGGGCTTCCTTTCTGGATGGGTTGGTGGGGATACGCAACGCGTCTAGAGTTTCCATGTGATTCTGCCCCAGCGTTCTTTCTAAGCGAAACCACCTGATCCTAAGCAAGCCGCCCCCGCTGGGCAAACAGAAGCACGATGCGCGCACTCTGTTCTATCAACACTCACCAGTGTCCAAACACCCCTTGGAACCATCGGGAACAGTGCACGCGCGCGCGTCGTCGCGCGCGCATGCGGAAATCTTTCAAACACCTTGGTTTGCGAGGTTGTCAAAGCCAACTGTCCCGAGAACACATTGAACTTACCCCAGTGCGACCTTACCTAGAAGTTGGAGCCCCTAGGAAAGCAGCATTAGGTGTTATGCTATGCTATGCTATGCTATGCCATGCTATGCCATGCCATGCTATGCCATGCTATGCTGCGCTATGTTATGCTATACTATGCTATGATATGCTGCGCTATGCTATGTCATGCTATGACATGACATGCTAAACTATGCCATGTCATGCGGCGCTGTGCTATGCGAAGCTATGGTATGCTATGCTATGCTATGCTATGCTGTGTTATGATATGCTATGCTATGCTATGATGTAACATGATATGCTATGCTATGCTATGCTATGCCATGCTGCGCTATGCTATGCTATGCTATGCTATGCTATGATATGATATGATATGATTGGCAATGTTATGCTATGCTATGCGATGCTTATGCAGCGCTGCGCTATGCTAAATTAAGCTAAGATAAGCTAAGCTAAGCTAACCCTCTAGGCAGAATCTAGGTAGGGAGTTACACCCATGCTAAGCTAAGATGAAGGTACGCTAAGCTAAGATAAACCTGAGCTAAGATGATTCTAAGCTAATCTAATATGAAATAAGCTAAGCTAAGATGAGATAAGCAACGCTAAGCTGAGGGGACGTAACTGGGGGAACCGCGGGGCGGATGCCGGGGGAACCGCCCGGGGCGAGGAACACTGCCCGGCCCCTACAAGCTCTAAAGTAATACCCCTTCTAGGAAGAGCCTAGGTAGGGAATGAACCTGAGCTGAGATGAAGCTAAGCCAAGCTAATATGAAATAGGCTAAGATAAGATGAGATAAGCAACGCTAAGCTAAGGGGACGTAGCTGGGGGAACCGCGGGGCGGATCCTGGGGGAACCGCCCGGGGCGAGGAACACTGCCCGGCCCCTTTAAGCTCTAAGGTAAGAACACTTCTAGGCAGAGCCTAAGTCGGGAAAAACAGCTGTTTCCAACGTGCAGCTTTAACAAACACCCCAGCGTGGGGGGATCCAAGGCGTTAGTTGTTGCTTACGCCGCTACACCGTTACACCGTTAGCTGGCAACGGTGTATGGCTACACCGCTACACCATTACGCGAACGGTGTAGCGCTGCACCGCTACACCGTTACACCGTTCGCTGCAACGGTGTGGCGCTACACCGCTACACCGTTACGCTAACGGTGCAACGGTTTAGCGCTACCCCAGTGCACCGCTAGCCGCAACGGTGCAACGCTACACCGTTACACCGTTGCACCGTCAGCGGCAGCGGTGTAGCGTCACACCGCTACACCGTCTCACCGTTAGCCGCAACGGTGTAACGTTACACCTCTACAACGTTACACCGTTACCCGCAACGAGCCACGTTGCGCTTCACAGCTGTCCAGCCCAAGGTCCGCTCAGCCGCCAACCGAAAGGACCTCCAAAACAAGTTGCTTAAATCTAAAACAGCAAATGTTTTGTAGGTCCCTTCGGTCGCTGGCTGGGCCACGCGATGCTCCAAACCTGGGGGTCTGGACGTCTATGGGGGCTGATCTGCTCCGTTGCACCCCAGTGTCATTGCGCAACGGTGTAATGGTGTAGCGGTGTAGCGGCGCGGACGCCCCACAACTGTCACGCCCCCCCCCCCCCCCAAGCAGCCCCAAGGTCCGTTCAGCCGCCGACCGAAGGGACCCACAAGGCATGGTCGGCCCAAAAAACGCGTTGTCGGTCCCGTCGGTCGCTGGCTTGACCGCGCGACGCTGTTCCCACATGACCTCGGAAGCAAACCAAGATGAACCCAGAGAGCTCCAGGATGGTGTCCGCGAGTGATTGCGGGAGTTGCAAAAGGAGCATGAGTAGTGGGAGAAGGAAGAAAAGGAGGAAGTCATGACATAACCTCGTCATCGCCAGCGTCAGAAGCATCCTTAGCCATGCGGGCTCAACCCATGGCGGGCCGCAGCCGGAGCCCGGGGGGCGCCCGCAATTGGCTGTAACCGATCTCTACCTCCACCCGGAGGTGGGCGACGTGGAGCAGGATGCCGTTTGGGATCCAAGCCTCCTACCAGCAGCTGACCCCGCCCCTCCGCCGAGCCTGCAGCGGTTTCGCCGCGCGCCTGTCCATGCGCCGCGGGCAATAAGGTTGCCGCGAAAGAATGGATCAGACGTCAGCGCGCGGAGGGCCACGGCCACCCAGCCGCAACCGCGGGCGTCCCGCGCGGTGGCCATTCGGGCTTCGGTGGGCCGAGGTTCCGCTCTGGCCACTTCTGCCTGCACAGGGCCCGGAACCGCACGCGGTGGCTCCGGAAGTAGTCCGTGGCGTGGAACACGGGAGCGCGCGCCTTGGGCGGCAGGTCCGCGGCGAGGCGGGCGGCTTTGATGCTGTCCAGCAGCGGCGACAAGTCTTCGACGATGGCGGAGACCGTCTCGCCGCGCTTCAAGGTGACGGGCATCAGCAGACTGCCGTCCGTCCCAGTCCACGCCGAGACGATGGTGAACGGCCGCAAGTGAAAGCGCGAGCCCCGCACACGATGGCACACTCGCTTGGCGAGCTTGAAGTTCCCGTCGCCTCGGATCACCTGACCTGGGGGCCCGCCTGATCTTGCGACCCGTTTGTGAGGCCAGCACTGCCCCCTCCACCCCCCACCCCCCTGGGATCTGGCGACGGATGGGGTCTTAACATCGGCGGACACTTGTACAAGCACTCGAGGCGTTGTACACGGGCCACCGCCTTGTCCAAGAAATTGCCGAGCACCACCTGGAGCATCGCACGCAAAGCACCAGCTGGCGGCACCGCCGTCACAGCGGGAACCGCGCCAGAACCGAGCTGCAATGATAAGGCGTTCGCAGCGTACAGACTAAGGACCCCGTGACTGACGGCACGCGTGTTCAGCTCCTCGTAGAAGTTCTGGACGGCGAAAGTCAGGAAGGCCGCAGTCATGTAGATCGGCGGCGCACTCCTCGGCGGATGGTTGATGAGGATGCCGGGGAAAACGCGGCGTACATCCGCGTCTTCCACGGGGAAATTTCGCTCACACTCCCTCGGCGAACAGCGCCACGGGCGCGCGTCGAACGGCAGCTGGAGGGGGGCGTCGAGGACATCTCGGACCTGCACTGCTCGATCGGTTCTGGGTTGGGCGCCATGCGGCCTGCCGTGGGCAGCGCTGGCAGCCGCATGATCCCGCAAAGCCTGCGGCTGGATTTCGGTCACGCGGCCGCAAGAGTGTGTCGTCTCTGCGGGGCCCCGCGGCACCGCAACTCGCGCGGTCCACTGGTTGGCCAGACCACGCACGGGGCAAAGCCCGAGCTCGGAATCGCACCCGGGGCGCCCGAGGGGGCGCGCCGCTGGAAATGGACGCTTGCGCCTCTGCCCGTCTCGTCTGGCCTGGGCGCGAAGCATGTAAGCACCTCTGTCGATGACCTTGCTTCCACCGTCCGTGCGTCGCGCATACGCGCAACCCAACCATCTCCGTCCCTGTGCAGGGGCACGACATCTGCGCGCGGGACGCGCCACCTGGTGCACACTGAGAGCACAAACCCATCCGCGCCGCACAGCCGCGCAGAAACGCCAGCGGCCAGCTTATGAGACGGCGGCGCCGTCACGCTGGCCGCCTTAGGGCAACGCAGCGAGCACTCCATGAGCTCCTGCAGGACTGTAGCGGCCCTTCCTGCAGCGACCCGCGCGGCGGCGTCCCCCAGGCGCGCCGCGGTCTGCCGAGGATCGCGCAACGGGCCGCTAGCCTGCGGCGCGCTCGCAGGCTCAGCGGTAGAACCTCGGACCACCGAAGCCCGAACGGCCACCGCGCGGGACGCCCGCGGTTGCGGCTGGGTGGCCGTGGCCCTCCGCGCGCTGACGTCTGACCGATTCTTTCGCGGCAACCTTATTGCCCGCGGCGCATGGACAGGCACGCGGCGAAACCGCTGCAGGCTCGGCGGAGGGGCGGGCTCACCTGCTGGTCCTCCAGGGAGGTATGGATCCCACACGGCATCCTGCTCCACGTCGCCCACCTCGGGAAGGAGGGAGAGATCGGATACAACCAATTGCGGGCGCTCCCGGGGGCTCCGGCTGCGGCCCGCCATGGGTTGAGCCCGCATGGCTATGGATGCTTCTGATGCTGGCGATGACGAGGTTATGTACATGACTTCCTCCTCCTTTTCTTCCTTCTCCCACTACTCATGCTCCTCTTGCAACTCCCGCAATCACTCGTGGACACCATCCTGGAGCTCACTGTGTTCATCTTGGTTTGCTTCCGAAGTCATGTGCGAACAGCGTCGCGCAATCAAGCCAACGACCGAAGGAACCGACAACGCGTTTTTTGGGCTGAGCATGCCGTGTGGGTCCCTTCAGTCGGCGGCTGAACGGACCTTGGGGCCGCTTGGGATGAGGGCTGGAGTGCTCTGGGGCGTTCACGCCGCTACGCCGCTACACCGCTACACCATTGCACCATTGCACAATGACAACGGGCCGCAACGGAGCAACTCAGCCCCCGTAGACGTCCAGACCCCCAGGTGCCAATAGTTTTGCTCATCGCGTGGCCCAGCCAACGACCGAAGGGACCCACACATCATTTGTTTAGAAAACATGATTTGGAAGTCCTCTCGGTTGGCGGCTGAACGGACTTTGGGCGCGTAACGCGGCTCGTTGTGGGTAACGGTGTAACGGTGTAGCGGTGTAAGCAACAAATCAAGTTACCTGGATTCCCCCAGAATGAAGAAATCGACGCGCGCACTCTAGCGAGTTCTTATGAAAACCATTTGTAGCTCAACAGGTTCATCAAAGGCGACCGCGTGGGCCTGTCGCGCGCGCATGTCGGAATCATTCGAAAGCCTTTGCGCGCGCTGGGGGGGCGGGGGAGGGCATCCCTGTCAAATAATGCCACGCGGGTCACTCGCGCCGGCCGGCCGCGCGCGTATGCCAAATCCCTTCAAAACCTCCATCGCCGACACGTCGACACAATTATCGTCGTCGGCATAACCAGCATCGGCGCCATCATTGGCCTTGCCGTTGTCATGACCATCGTCGTCACCAGCACCGCTAAAAGCATCATCGCGCCTGCCGTTGCCGACGTCGCCATGATACCGCGCCCGCCAGAGCCACCGACTCGCATTGAAGTGCCTGCGCAAAGGCGCGGCCTGTGAGACGCACTGGGAAGTCCCCGTCGGTCGCGCCAGACTAGCTGGCCGCTCTGCGCGCGAGCCTGCGCCAAGCAATCATCGCAATCGCCGCCGCATGGGTTTTGCAAACCAAGTTGCGGGTGGGCGGGTGGAATGATTGCGCGAGCAGCGGGGCTGGCAACTTCAAGTGCGGCAGGGCAAAGCGCAACGCATGGATTGCGCCTCGTGGCTTGCACAATTTAGGTTGCTAGGAACACACTGTTTGGAGCCCACGCTGGTTAGCATATATATATATATATATACATATATACATATATACATATAAGTTATCCCCATGTATAGATGTGTGTAAATGTGCATGTACACACGATGGGTCGAACCTGTTGACCTGCTCCACGGTGCCGCCTGCGCGTGAGGCGGAACACGACGATACGCGCACATGGAGATGCGCACCGTTCAGCAAGCGAAGAACACGAACAGGGTGCCCGCCAGCCGCTCAGCCATGTGTACCGACGGACACGTGAGAACAGCGAGTAAGAAACTCTGACGCAGACCAGGTACCAGGCGGCGCCTGTACCTCGAGAGGTCGCGATATCGCTGCCTTGTCCCGCCATGGGGCCCGCTCGTGGCCCCCTTAGGACCATGTTGGTGCTTTCTGCGGCGCTCCTCGGGCTCCACTTGGGCCTCCGTTGTGGTCTCTTGGGGCCATCTTGCGATCCCTCTCCTCCCTCCTCCTCTCCCTCCTCCTCCTCCTCCTCCCCCTCCTCCTCCTCCTCCTCCTCCTCCTCCTTCTCCCTCCTCCTCCGCCCTAGCAAGAAAAGCTGTACAGTCGGCCCACGCTGAGGCCGACGAGTGACAGGAAGGGTGCCGCATCGCTGACCCCTGGTGGGTGTGCCGCCCGCCCACCGGGGCCAGGGTTCAAAAACGAGCGACCCCGCTCATCCGATCGCCCCCCCTCGCTGTTCCTTTATCGCGCCACTTCCTCTCCCCGACAGCCCCCCTGAGAGGGAACGATGACATGACGATAGAGGGGGACTGGCTCAGGAGGGGGAACACCGACCTGGAATCGGCGATACGCCGCCACCGCCGATGGATCGCCGATAGGCCCCCGACAGCGACACCGCACGCTCCTGGGCGAGGCGGGCTGTCCGGATCCCTGCCGGTGACGGGTGGGCGATTGGGGGTCGAGGCGCACTCCGTCCTGAGCCCGTCCCCCCCCCAGCGTTGCCCCCGACGCCCTTCTTGAGTACGGCGTTGCTCACGGCGGGGGGGCGGGCTGTCGATTCTTTCATATTAACACAAAAGAAACATAATCTGTGTATACATATATGTGTGTATATGTTTAAACTCATATACATATATATATATATATATATATATATATATATACATATATACACATATACATATATACATATGTGTATATGTAGATATATAGGTGTGTATAGATACATGTGTGTGTGTGTGTGTTGATTCTCTGACCGTCGCCGTACTAATCCAGGGGGCCCAAGTGGCTTGCAGGGTGCTTTTCGGACGCAATCTTGACCCCTCTTGGGGGCTGCTTTGGCGTCTCCTGTGGTCTTTTGGGGGCCTCTAGGGGGGCTGGGGCCCGTTGGAGGCCTGTGTGGGAGTCCTTGGTGCCTCTCGGGGGCAGTTTTGGGGCCCCTTTGGGCCGTCTTGTGCGCCTCTTGGGCCGCCTTGGGGCCCTCTTGGGCCGTCGTGGGGGCCTCTTGAGTGCCTCTTGGGCCGTCTTGGGGCGATGGGGGGCGTCTTGGGCTGTTTTGGAGCGTCGGGAAGGCGAGAAGTTGTTGATATTGAAAATGTACGTTTTACGGCGGGAGTTTGGCGATTTGGGCATCTTGGGGCTCCTCTGGGAGGCATCTTGGGGTGCCTTGGGGGCTGCTTTGGCGTCTCTTGGAGCGTTTTTCTGGCCGTGCGAATCCAGGGGGGCCCAAATGGCTTGCAGGGTGCTTTTCCGGAAACCGTTTAAACCCCTCTTGGGGGCTGTTTGGGCGTTTCTTGTGGTCCGTTTTGAGCCTCTTGGGGAGCTGGGGCCCGTTGGGGGCCTCATTGGGCCGTCGTTGGGGGCCTCTTGAGTGCCCCTGGGGCCATCTTGGGGCGATATGGGGGGCGTCTTTGGCCGTCTTGGAGCGTCAGGAAGGCGAGAAGTTGACACAAACATGCACGAACACATGCTCACATACATCTAAATACATAAATCAATCACTGCATCAACACATGCACATATACATTCACAAACACACACACACACGTATATACATATATATATATATATATATATATATTGACGAGCGCATAGATGATTACTATCATCCATACATACATACATACATACATACATACATACATGCATACACACATACATACAGGCAGACAGACATACATACATAAGTCACTAATAACTCACTACACATGTACGTATGTATGTATACTTATATATATATATATATATATATATATCTGGGCCTTGCTTTTTCTGCATGGCCAGCAAGGCGTGGTGTGGGACGAATCTGATGCTCTGCAGAGGCGGCCACACTCTCAAGCCGGAGACGCAACAGATGAGACGAAACACACTGCATGCACTCCTGATCGAAAGCGGCCCTTCGGGCAGCCGAGAGGATGAGAAACAAAAACAGGGCGGTGGTCGGGGTTGGACGGTTGGTTGCTTTGAGCCACCGTGTTTACGGATGAGACCAAAGGCAAACGAGGACCTCAGGACGAGCGGCCTTCACCGAAACGCGTGCCGAGATTTCCGTACAAGTACAACGCATCTCTGGGCCTTGCTTTTTCTGCATGGCCAGCAAGGCGTGGTGTGGGACGAATCTGATGCTCTGCAGAGGCGGCCACACTCTCAAGCCGGAGACGCAACAGATGAGACGAAACACACTGCATGCACTCCCGAAACTCGATCCAAAGATGTCAACTGGCTGGTAGGACCAGCCGCTCAAAAACACGAGTCCTGTGAGATATTACGGCATTACTATAGGCTTGGGCGAGGGCGTTGCACAAACGCTGAGGGTAAGCCTCGGCCAGCTTGGGTTTAAAGACGCGCTCCACGTTCTTTCCATGCAGCTGGGCGTGCGGCAAGCCAGTGCGGGAACAAATTCCTCTCTTGGACGACTTGCACAACGCACGACCGATGCGACTCATATCGAGGTTGACTGTGGCGAAAGCCGTGGCTTTTCGCCACGGCGCTCCCCACTGACAGAAGTGCGTGATAGTGAAAGTGACGGCCGACGAGCGCAGCAGGCGGACGAAAGGAGGGGCGAGCCAAAGTCGGCTCGTCTGGGGATTCTCATTACTAGCTGGGATGTTGGCCCTGATGGCCTCGTGCATGAGGCCAGCGCTGAAAATCATGAAAACGTTGCCTGCATCAACCTTGGCCTGATCTTTCACGCTCAAGTCGGGAAGGCCAAGAGGGAAAGCGTCACTACGCAGCGGCATCGGTCCGGGCGGGATGTCCCGCGCACGGCTCCATGTGTTGCAGGGCGTCCCGATGTGGATGCCAATTACGAGCCCGCTTCGAACCCAGGACCGGATCAGCCCACGCTTCTGCGGGCTCAGCAGGTCATACTCGGGGCCCAGGCAGATGTCCCAAAGCAGGACGGGCAGCCCTTCAGCGGCGACCGCCCGTCCCAGGCGCCCGGAGCCGCTGAACACTTCCAGGAAGAAGCGGGTCTTCAGGGAGGCGTAAATGGGCAGCGCCGGCCAGACACGATCTCGCCGAGCGAGTCGGCGCACCGCGCTGCGTGGTCCTGCATCGCAGCGGGCACCATCTGCAGCACCTGCGACAGGCGAGCGCCTTTCTCGTATCGGCGGACCGAATGCCACGACTGCCACCGGCCTCTGCGCTGGACGTCGACGAGGGACCTGGCCTTGCTGCCGTAGTCGTGAGACGCGCCCCCGTGCCTGAGCATGTAAGGGTGCAGGCCGGGCAGGAACTTCTCGATCCCGAAGGCCTTGGCGGCGGCCGAGAGGGCGCTCGAGACCTCGCGCTGCGTGATCGCGAACAGCAGAGGCTCCGGGGCCGCGCCGCTCGCGCGGCCGCCCGCGCCGGCGCCGCGCGCCGCCGTGGGGCGAGGCCTCCGCCAGTCGGGGCCGAGCCGCGCGGTCACGGAGGCCTCCAGCGCCGGGCCCAGCAGCTCCTGCCGCGGCAGGTCCAGCTTCAGCGCCTCGTCGTACTCGGCGGTCTTCGAGAGCACCTCCGTCTCGGCGGCGTGCAGAGTCACGCTCCAGCTGTCGTGTCCCAGGCGGCCGCGAGCCGGGCGAACCAAGTCGGTGGCCCGGATGTGGTACGGCTCGCTTGGGCGCAAGTACAGCTCGAAGCTCAGCCACAGCACGAGCGCCGCCTCGAGCTTCGAGACGCTCACGAGGTAGCTTACCAGCGCGGCCAACAGCTCGAAGGGGAGCGGGAGCCGCGAGGTGGGCGGCGCCAGCCGACGGAACCCGCGCAGCGCCCGCCGCGCTCGCGCCATCGGCGAGCCCGCCGCCTTCGTCAGCCCCAGGAAGAAGAGCACCGACGCGAAGAGCTTCTGCCCGGCCCCGATCCCCTCGCCGTCCAGGTAGAGCTCGTCCAGGCGGAGGACCAGCTGCTCGTCGTAGTCGTCCAGCGTCGTGGGCTGCACGCCCCGCTCTGCCATCCAAGCCTGGAAGCCGTCGAAAGCCTCCACGTACTGCGCCCGCGTCGCCGCCGTGATCGATCCCGTCTCCAGCACGCTCAGGCCCGGCAGCTGCACGGCCGCGGAGCGCCGGCGCGCCGCCGCCGCCGCAGTCGCCGCCACCCGACGCCGCTTCCTCGCTGGCGGGCTCGCCGCGGCAGGACGCCGCCGCGGGCCCCTCGCCCGAGCCGCCGCGCGCCGAGCGGGCGCATCCGGGGCCGAGGGCAGCGGCGCCCCGGCGACGCGCACGGCGGCTGGCGGCCTCGACGTCCCCGGAGGCCTGAACGTAGACCGGGTCAGCGTCGCCGAGGCCGTCTGGGCGCGCGGCGGCGCCGCGGGCGGCCGCGCCCGCGCCAACATCGGCAGGCTTCCCGGGCGGCCCAGCGGCGCCTGGCCCCGCCGCGCCAGACTTGGCCCGAGGCAGCAGCGGCTGGGGGGTCGAGGGGGAGAAACGCCCCCTCGAGGGGTTGTCGGCTGCATTCCACTCTGAGGGCAGCCAGCGGTAGTGGAGGGTGGTGGCAGTGACAAGGGTGACGGCGGCGATGGCCTGAGTGACTCGGAGCATTTTGCAAGAACTGCTCCTGAAACGATCCACGGCCCCGGCCGCGCTCAAAGAGTCGCCCAGCACCACGACGCGCCGGCCACGGTGCCGCGAGGCTCTCACGAGATGCTGGAGCCCGTGCAGCACGGCCCTCGCCTCGGCGACCGGCATGCTCTCCTCCGGCCAGCGCCAGCGGTGGCGCCCCACGGTGCGCCAGGGCAGCTTGATCACGTCCGGCGGCACCTCGTCGAACGCGCTCCCGGCGGCCCCCTCGGCTGCGCCGGCGGCCTGGGTCTGGGGGTTGTGACTATGGAGGGCGGAATCCTCCCCCCCCAGCCCGTCGCCGCCGGCATGCCGCGGAGGAAAGCCCGCGGCCGCGACCGCCTCCGCTCCCAGCATCCACGGCGCAGCGTCGGCGGGATCGCCCGCCAGCGCGGCGGCGGCCGCCGCGGCCCCCGCGTGCCGGCGTGGCGCGGAGCCGGCCAGCCCATGGTGCCACCTCCAGCGCTCGGAGACGTGGCCCAGCCTCTGCACCAGCGAAGCGGGGGCAGGGGCAGCGCAAGCCCCGATGCCCCACTCGCTCGCGTCGACCACGATGAGCTCGTCAGTCCAAGGCGAACGGAGGCTGCGCCACAAGAGGGGAGCGATGCCGTCCCAGTACTCCAGCTCACGCCGGACAGCAGGCCAAAGTCCGGTCTCCTTGTCATAGCACTTGCGGACAAAGGCGTAGCAGCTCCAGAACAGAGACATGCCCTCGCGCTTGATAAGAGATATAAATACCAGATGCCCGAGGAGCTTCTCGAGGTCGCGTCCCCGAAGACGGCCACGGCCGAGGACACCTCGAACGGCCAGGCGCGCACGCCACAGCCGGGCCCGCGTGGGCCGCACGATGCACCGTCCTCGGTCAATGCACCACCCCAGCGCCTCCGACTCACCAGGCAGCTCGCCAGCATGGTCCTCGGCCTTCACCTCGAGCCCGCGGGCGCGCAGCGCGTCAGACACGCGCCGCACGAGCGCCGCCACCCACTCGGAGTCGGTGCCGATCGCGATGAAGTTGTCGACGTACTCCAGGTGGGCGCCCGGCGTCATCGGCGGCGGCGGCCGGTGGTCGACGATCCGCTGCTCGGGGCAGGCGCCGGCCTCGACGCTGGTGCGCTCATGCACGCGCTGGCACCACCACAGCGCCCAGCTCCACCCCATCGGCAGCACGGCCAGGCGCGGCGTGACAAGAGCGCCCCGGCCGAGTGGCTCCCCGCCGAGGAGCTTGATGCCAACCGCCGAGGCGCGCACGGGTCGGAAGGAGAAGTACCCCCTCAGCTCCTCAGGCAAGCCCATGTGGTAAAAGGCGTCGCTGAGGTCGGCACCCTGGATGTGGAGCTCGTCGTTGAGGCCCAGCTCCAACCTCGAAAGGGCATCGCCCGTGCACAGGCTCACTCCGGCCGGCTCAGCGAACCAAGCGTTGGCCCTCCGGCAGTCTATCACCATGCGCAGCCTCTGGTCTTTCTTCTCCACGAAGAAGGCCTCGACGGACTCGATGCCAGACTCGGCGAAGTCGACGAGGCCACGCTCTTGCAACATACGAATGAATTCCTCATACGCACCCCGACGCCGCAAGGCTGGGTCAGAGTACGCCCGCTCCAGCCCCACGCCCTGCAGTCGCTGCTTCGCCCTCTCGGAGCACAGCAAATTCTGTGATATAAAATCCTTCACGGTGTCACTCCCGCCGCTCCCCCACAGAGTCTCCAGCGGAATCGGCCGAACCGCGCCAGAGGGCAGTGAGATCGCGTCGGGGCGGTAGGATCCGAGCTTGGCAGAGTCCACGTCGTACCAGCTCGCCACGCGAAGCTTCCGAAGAGCCTCTGCGGGGGTGAGCCCCGGGGGCGGCGCTCCCAGGGCCCGCACCGACTCCTCGACGAAGTCGATGGCCTCGCGCTGCGCGCGCGAGACGAAAGCACAGGCTGGCGCGCCCTGGCCAAGAGCCGGCTGAGGCGCATGCGAGAACATCCCGTTGAGGCTGCGCACCGCTCGGTCACAGTCCAGCTCCATAGCAGCACGCGCGCCAACCCGCTGCCGCACCGACCTGCTAACGGCGCCTGTCTCCCCGGAGAAGGCGCCGACTGGCCGACGTGGCAGAGGAAAAAGATCGCGGGGAACATGGCGGTCGTCACCCGCGTCAAAACTGCGGCCACCAGCGAGGGGCGGCCTGGGGCTCGGCAGGCGGCTGGACCCCGCCCCTGAAGGGCCCAGCCGGCGCGAGTCAGGAGTCATTTCTCCTTGGGCCCTTTGCGGAGGGCCTCCCGCTCTTCTCGTGCAACTCTCAGGTTCTTGGCCAGCTTCGCCTCCCGCTCCACCTCGGTGCGGACGTAGTCCAGCAAGTCCGGGCAGATCATGAGCGTTGACGAGGCCCTCGTGGTCCCAGCGAACGCGTGCTGCTCCTCCAACGACATCTTCCCCTGGTAGCTCTTCGACTCCGCCTCCCTCGCCCGCTCGGAGTGGCCGAACTCTATCGTCTGGAGCCGCCGGAACTGGTACTCGACCATGATCAGGTTGCTCCCGTCCAGCTGGTCCACCAGCAGCCCCTGGGTCAGGGCCTGGCAGATGTTGAAATGCTCGAAGACCCCCCACGAGTTCCAGTCGAGACGGCAGGCCGTCTTGAAACGCTCGTGGTGGCCCAGCAGCCCGCTCCCCTCCTGGTTGATGAACTCTATGCACCACAAGCTCGAGCGCGGCCCCGGCAGCTGCCAGTCGGCCCCGAAGCTCTCCTGCTTCAGGACGGCCGTCATCTCCGCCCAGGTCCGCTCCCGCTTGTCCTGGCGGTTGCGGCGGATCGGTGTGATCCGAGCATCCGTGGCCACCGCCCGATCGAAAAACTCGGCCTCGTCGGTTGGGTCGACGTGCTCGACGAAGATCCCGACGCCATCCGGGAGTACGTGGATGTCCCGCTTGCCGACGGCCAGCCCGCTCCTCGAGTGGTCGGTCACGACGTCGCCGTACCGGTAGGGCCCGGCCGCCATCGCCGCCCGCCACTCGGCGACAGGAGGCCCAGCGGCAGCGCCCGGCGCAGCCCCCTGCAGAGGCCCGATGCGAGCAGCCCGAGGCGCGGCCGGAGCCCCGCCCGGCACCGGCAGCGGCCGCAGGAAGACGAGGTTCGCCAGCAGCCTCGGATCGCCTCGAGCGGCGGCGATCCGCTGGCACTCGGCCTGCGCCTCCGCCTGGGCGTCGGCCAGCGCCCGCGCCCGCTCCTGAGCTGTCGGCTGCTGCCTGAAGCGGTACACCCGCCCAGGAGGCACCCCAGCGGGCACCGCGGCCCACGCCCCGGAGAAGCGGACGGCGGCCACGTCCACGCTGTCGTCCCCGTAGTCCTCCGCGTAGACGTCGCCGTCTGGGGTCAGGACGACGTAACTAAAATCCGACAACCCCACGAGCCCCAGAATCAGCCTCTGGTGCCACAAGTGCTCGTCGTCGGCGTACAGCACGAAGGCCCACTCCCTCGCCCTCGGCGGCGCCGCGGCCATCCTCGCCCTTCGTCAGGCGCTTGGCGCAGCTCAGCCCGCCGCGCACCACCCCCTGGCCGAGCACGGCGAGAAGGCACCCGAGCACCACGCCGAGCACCAACCACCACCCCGGCCCCAGCCCGCCCCAGGCCGGAGCGCCGGCGCGCTCGACCTCCGTCGGCGCGGGGCAGCTCTGGCTCTCCGGCGGGGGCCAGGCCGGCGCTGCCGGCGCGGCGGCCCCGCCCGGGCAGCTCGGGCACGCCGGGCACGGCGGGCACGAGCACGAAGCCAGTGCCGGGCAGGGCGGGCACGCCGCGCAGTGGCAGTCCGGCACCGCGGGGCAAGCGGGGCACCGCGACAGGTAGGCGCCCGCCACGCCGCCCGCCCACTCCAGGACTCGCACGGCGAAGGGCCCAGCCATGCGGGAGGCCCGACGCCCTGCTTTGCTTTGAGCCACCGTGTTTACGGATGAGACCAGAGGCAAACGAGGACCTCAGGACGAGCGGCCTTCACCGAAACGCGTGCCGAGATTTCCGTACAAGTACAACGCATACATACATATACGAATCAGAGCGAGGGGGCCGAATGGTCATTCATGATCCCTGTGTGCGTGGCTGAAGTGGGGATCCGCGGTGAAGATTATGCTTGTTTCGTTGTTGTTTGTTTGTTTGTTGTTGTCGTCGTCCCCCCCGCGACCCACCCGCGACCACCCCGCGACCACCCCGCGACCAACCCCGCGACCCACCGCGCGACTCACCCCGCGACCCACCCTGCGACCCACCCGCGACCACCCCGCGACCAACCCGCGACCCTCATGCGACCCACCCGCGACCCACCCCGCCACCCACCCGCGACCCACCCCGCGACCCACCCGCGACCCACCCCACGACTCATCCTCGACCCACCCGCGACCCACCCGCGACCCCCCTTTCGAACCACTTGCGACCCACCCCGAGACCTACCCACATTCATTTAAAGAAAAAACCGGGGCCTGCGGCGGGCTCGTTGTATAATGTATAAAACTTCGGCGCCTGCAGCGGGCTTCTCCAGAGTCTCGCAGACAGCCGACGTCCCCACCGCCCCCTCACTCTTATTCGCATCTGCGGGGTGCTACAGGTTGATGTCTGTGTGTGTGTATGTAAATATGTATGTATGCATGCATGCATGTATATGTATTCTCATACGGACCTCTCCGAGGGAGTAGAGCTCAGAGGCGATGAATGCACACGCGCCGCGTCGTTCGCGACTTTTCTGGCCGTTTCGCTAGGGAAATCCTCGAATTTCTGAAAGTCGGTGGCACCCCTCACACAGATCGTGACGTCAGGGTCCAAAAACACATGGGAAGTTCAACATTTTAACATAAAACCTTCAAACACACATTCAATGATTTTGACCCCGATTCTCAGAGAATGGCGGTTTCGCCAGAGACATCCTCCCAAAATCGAGCCCCGACGTACCTTCTGGTACCCCAGACCCGGCCTCGGAGCCTCCTGGGGGCCTCCTGGAACCTCCTGGAGCCTCCTGGGTTTTCTGTACCTTCTGGCACCCCAGACCCCGCCTCGGAGCCTCCTGGGGGCCTCCTGGAACCTCCTGGGGCCTCCTGGGGCCTCCTGCGGCCTCCCGGAGCCTCTTGGGGCCTCCTGGAGCCTCCTGGGGTCTCCTTGGGCCTCCTGAGGCCGCCTGGGGCCTCCTGGGGCCTCAGAACTGCATGCACACACAGAGACACAAATCACACCCAACACATCACACGCTAGACAAACATAACACACACACAACACCTACAACGCACAGAAAACACGCACAACACAGAGCACACATCACACACACACACACACCCACACAACACTCACAATCGTGGGGCCTCCTGGAGCCTCTTCTGGTATCCAAGTCGGGCCTCCTGAGGCTTCCTGGGAGGCCCTGGTACACAGATCGCAAGGTGTGGCAACCCCACTTGCGCTCGAGTGCGACCTCGTTTTTCTGTATGAGCCTGGGCACACACGTGCCACTCGTATATGTGTGTATATACATGTACATACATACATACATACATACATACATACATACAAACATAGATACATACATACATACATGCATACATACATACATACATACATACATACATACACACATACATACATACAAACACACAAACATACCAACACACAAACATACCTACATACCTACATACATACATACATACATACATACATTCATACATACATACATACATACATACATACATGCATGCATGCATGTATGCATGCATGCATGCATGCATACATACATACATACATACATACATACATACTTACAGACATACATACATATACATATATGTGTATATGTACATACATACATACCTACCTACATACATACATGCATACATACATACAAGAGGCACGCGTGCCAAGGATCATACAATCACGGATGTGGGACACTGGGAGATGGAGGTGGCACCAACCTGTGGTAGTTTCGGGGAAGCGCGCGAGTGCTGCGACACGCTGAGCTATGGCGTGAAGAACTTGTTATGACACTGTGAGCTAGTGGCGTTCCTATGACTCTTCGGGGCCATGGTGCTATTGGGCGTCTCTGGGGCTTATTGGGGGTCTTGCGTGGACCCGTCTGGGGCTCTTTTGGGCTGTCTTCGAGCAATCTTGAGCTGCCCGGATCCTTTTTGGCCCATCGTGCGGGCTCGGGGGGGAGGGCCACGGCTGGAGCGGGGGGGGGCACGGTCGGTCGGTCGGAATAAGCAAGCGGGGTGGCCACGGGGCGGAAGGAAGGGCGGGACAGGGGCGTGGCCGGAGAGAGGGGAGGGGGGGCACGGTCGGCAGGCGGGGGCCACAGGGCGGAGGGGGGGGGGGGGCAGGGGACGGGGGGGGCGGAGGGGTCTGCAAGGTCGGTCGGTCGGTCAGAATAAGCGGACGGGGGCCGCGGGGCGGAGGGGCGCGGGGGGGAGCAGGCGGTCGGGCAGGGGTGGGGCACGGTCGGTCGGTCGGAATAAGCAGACGGGGGCTACGGGGCGGAGTCGCGCGGGGCACGGTCGGTCGGTCGGTCGGAATGTTCAGCAGACGGGGGCCACAGGGCGGAGGGGCGCGGGGCACGGTCGGAACTCCAATCGAGGCTTGGCCATGGGACTCACCGCCGCCCTCATCAGATAAGGAATCCTCCAGGGTCTGAAGCCTCCTGGGCGCATTCCTTAACCAACGCCCCCACCGTACTCCCCAGGCCTCTCCCGGCGGTGGACAAACCTCCCTTTAGTAAACCTCCCTTTAGTGAAAACGGCCTGGGACCGAAACCGACGGACCTGGACCCGCAAAAGTGACGGCCGCGACGCCCTCTCGCGAACCGAAAACGGCCAATTCCCCAATCGACGTGTCAAGGTAGGAGGTCTGTCCACCCCCGACTCTCCCTGGTGTTTTCCGACCATACCTTCGAGGCGCATCCGGCCGTCGCGACGAGGGCCTCCCGGGAGACCCAGCCGGGTGAAGACGTGGCAAGGCCAGGGGTGTCGGTGTGGTCAGGGGCTCTTGCTCGGCGTGTCGTGGCGGCGGC